GCCACTTTAGTCAAAACATCCTGTTGGTGGATCTGCATGGATGCTGAAATTCGGAGCCAGTAGCTCCGACTCTTGCCTCGTCCTGTCACGACCCCACTGGCGGAGGATTATGACCTCTCGGTCGCGCTAAGAAGACAATGGACGTTTGGGCGCATGATGCGAGAGATAGTGTAGCGCCGTGCATATTATTCACTTACTTGAATTTCCCATTTGTTTGCGATGGTATCCACAAATTCAAGTAGCGTATCTCGAAGATTCAGGCGTCACCTGACACACTCATCAGTAGCTCGTACCGAGTCACTCCAAGACGGCCACTTTCACGCCAAAAATAGTACTTTGAGGACAATTCCTCTTACCGTCCCGAGCGTATTTAATATAGTCATCCAGCAAAAGTAAGGTCGACCTTCAAGAGGCCAGCGTCCAGGTTAACCGGATCGGCCGACTTTAATTCAGTCGGTTCGCCTTCCAAGGGATAGATAGTCAGTATGGTATTAGTGGAGTTCACTTACAAACTCGTACGTACGTATAACATTGTCAACATTTTTTTGTAGCTCCTGCGGAGTAACTTGACGACTAGTTATGCCTCCAACCTAAAACCACTCGTCAATAATCTCGATTTTGTGTTGCGCCATGTAACTAATATCGCGGGCGGTGAAAGTGGCGAAGGCCAGTCGTAAGTGTTTAAGACCTATGACACGGTGCGATTCTTTCATACAGGCTATGGCGTTCCATATTTGGGATTATGGCGTCTACACTGTGTGGCACAGAGCAAGGTCCGAAACAGACGATGTCGCACGAAGGAGACGACGTCGCTGAGATGGCTGAGATCAAGGCAACCATCGCCGACATCTTTGACGAGGTCAGGCTTACCGCTCAGAGCTTTAGGAAAAGATTAGGCGAGTAGCGATGGCCTACAATTGCTAATCGCAATGTGATCCTCACACAGAGCGCCTCTGTTTGCCAGACCCTGAAGGCCTAGTAGACTTCATTCGTTCCTTGACTTCCAGGGACCCTAAAAGTTGGCATGATAACTAGTGTCCGGGGGACAATACGCTTGAGGATCATTTTACAAACCTCTTTGACAGGGTTATCGGTCGTGGGGAGCGTATCCCTGTTGCACCTGCAGACTGTCATTTATGGGTGCGGGGTGTATTATTTCCAGGCGCCATGGGATCGTTCTTTGAACGTTTATGCAGGCTATGTATGTAGTCCATGGAATAATTCACTCTAGATAAGTACGAAAAAGCTCCCTGTTCAACTCTTCCGGTGAATTACATCGCCTCCCCTGGACGTGGCGAACGGCGTTATCCGGATAGTAAACATATCACGACACAGAGACTTATCAAGCATTCACGCTGCGCATATAAGCAGACCTTCAACATACATCTATTATCAAAGATTCTCCAGCTTTTCGCTGATCATCAAGGTTCAAAATGATATATAAGATCCTTGTCTTTCGCGGCCCCTCAGGTAGTTGCCTCCTACGCGAACTGCTCTAGAGCGGGCACAGTATCATAGCATACCTGCGCTAGGGATCTCTCCAAAATATCCTAGCAGCCTAGTATTGGGGCAAGTCCCTTTGAGCCTGTACTAGCACACGAACTGACAAAGAGCTAGGTGGCTAAAGGCGAACTGACAGATCACGACACGTTTTCCACGACCATCTCGCAGAGCTCATTTATCCTCTCCCAATGAGGCCAACGCAGCTTGAAGACCTCGATTTGGCTACTTTTACCGTATCTTGTTACTCCGACGGCAGGTTTCCAAAACCCGAGAGCTGGTAGCGTCACATGTCTTCGTCTTGGCGCACAGCATTTGGTGTACCGCGAGGGGGATGGCACAGACATTCGGGGATCACTGTTATTGGCCGGCCGGACGGTACGGTTCTCCGTATCCCGTCGATCCGCTTGGGTGATAGAAAAGCATTGTGGAAAGTGAACCGAGACATTAAGGACGACGTAGAGGACTCATTAAACTGGTTAGATGGTTATCTTATATGAAGAGAGCACAGGGTAGAGTAAATCTAGTGTCTTCTACCTGCTTTTAGTCCTCGCAGAACTTTGTGTCATTTGACCTGAAATTCATTAAGGGCCAACATCATCGGCCTCTCATTTGGCGGGATCGATCCTTTTAATCTCGATTCGGTAAACATGTATGAAAAGGCCTTATCTGATGCACAGTTCAAAGGGATAAGAGTCAAGGCTTTTCTGCTTTGCTATCTACATAAATCATTAAGTATGTAACACGCAGCGGTGGGTTTAGGTTTGATTCTGATGTAAACACGCAGGTCGCTGTTGTGCTCGCGAAGCCCTCGAATCGTACTTGACCTTTGGCCGAAAGCATAGTGTTCATTTAATCAGTGATGAGTCCTATGTTCTGTCAGTTTGGCAAAATCAAAGATACCCTGACGCTCCCAGCTTCACATTGGTCCTCTCAATCGACACTGAAGGGATGATCAATCAAAATCCCATCCATGTTTTAGGGGGCCTGACCAAGGTCGGATCACCACTACCCCTTGAATTAGTCGATTCATTGACTAATGCCTTCTTAGGATTTCGGATCCGATGGCATTAGATTCGGCTACTTGATTAGTCGGAATCCTGCTTTCATACGTCCTTGCGAAGCAAACTCGTGCTTTTCATGCTCATAATCACTATCACCTGGCCACGTTACGTGTTCTTTCCGACGATTCTTTTGTCCAAAGTCTGACTAAGACCAATCAATTATGTCTTGCCGGAAATTATATATTCTCGATAGACTTCTTAGAACAGCATAAGACTCCATATAGATGGCTGGTAATCCTAGTTTATTTGTTTGGGTCGGTCTGTTTGCCCCACTCTATGAACGGGTCAGTAAGGCCGTGAGAAAGGGATATGATAATATTGCATCCGCGGATGCGGCTCTAAGAGCTCTCGAAACGAGACTTTAGATAAGTTGTTGGAGCACCGCATCTTTTTTGCCCTGGGAGTAGATCTTGGTGCCGACGTGCCTGGCAGGTATCGTATTGCTTTTGCACACCAAAAGGAGTATTTCAATCTGTGTCTCAATCGCATGGTTCTTGGAAGCCTTCAGTATTGAAATAGAATGATAAGGTTCATTACTAAGGGGAACAAATCATCTGCCCTTAGTTAGTTCACAGTAACAAGAAATAAAGGATAGGTCACCCTCGAACATTAGCAGGTATAAGCATTCAACTCCCGAATGCCTCTCTTTCTTTCTCTCAATATCCACTTAGCCCAGGCTTCCATGACCTCGGGAGTATAAGTCCGGCAATGCCTCGATGAAATCTCCATTTTCAGGGATGCGTTGGGAATCCACCCAGTTCCCATGTACAGCCGAACGCATGCCTATGATATTTTAGTTTTAACTCCGTAGACTGCTATGAAGCTTGAAAATATAGGCTTACGGAAGGGAAGAATAATTTTAGCGATTACTTTTTGAAAGTCTTTCGTATCTTGGATGATCTCCAAAGTGTAGTATCGAGTTAGACAATGTAGGGAAAGCAAGGGTTGTGTATGGGAACACGTGTGCTTACGATTTCGTTCCTGTGCTCTTGGATATTGTCAATCATCGTGACCAAAAAGCCATCGCCTTCCGGCGCATCTGAACCTCTAGGACTGAAGCATGTCTCTTGAACCAGGACATCTGGACCAGGAGACATGGTCTCGAACGTTTTCGTATCATAGTCGTATCGGCCTAGGCAATTCAGGCCACGATACAGGAGCGATGGGTCAGTGGTTGACTTGGGATCGAAACAATTGACATAGGTGTAACGAACTGGAGGAGTTAGCCAATTATATCCATAATGTTCATTACCAGATAAATCGTGCGAGAATAACAAACTTCTCTTAGACAAGAACCGCTCATCAATTCGAGGGAACTCGCAAGGGATATTAACCAAGATCTCTGAACTTCTATTAGCGCAAATATTCAAAGACCTATGTAGCCAGGTACCCTACCAGGATCTTTGATGGCTTTTTCGGTTGTCTGTGGATTGATTTTAAACTTGACGTAATTCACAGTAACAGGATTAGATTCGCTCGAAGAGGAAGGCCGTCTTTTAGTGGCTATCACGTTCTGGGCATCAGTCCATGTTTCGCAGCCAATAATGGAGAACTTACGCAGAAAGGGGAAAGCGTTGCTTGAAGCCACCGTGGCATCGAAGAAGCTAGTTTCGTCAGCGTGCAACCTCAAACTGGATTTAACTTGCGTACATGTTTCCATTTTCTTCCCACGAAGCCCCCGAGTGAATCGGCAAGCAGTTCTTCCAATGAAAAGTTCGGACAGGTCTTTTTTTGTCCTTGGGAACAACATAGAAGTAAGTTGGCAAGTTCTCGTCATACGTCCTTGACAGTTGTCATCAGCCATGTTTGACAAGTGGCAATGGTTTTGCATCTGGCCTACCATATATGCCCGTCCGGAGATGTGAGAGACTCAAAACTAGTGTGGAATGGCATTTGCATAAGTATTATGTAGCTTGGAGTCTTTCAAAGTTTCTTCAGTGCTTTGCCATTTATTCATTTCAATCAGTGCGCTTACTATGGCACAGTCATGAATGAACCCATTGATTGGGCGTTCAAACGACTGCTCGTAAATCTTTGCGCCGTTCCTGTCGTGTATCCAGACTGTGCACTAGACAAATTTAGCACTCAAAATTGTCGTTTCATAAGAGATCTCCAACCGCAAGTTACTCACGTCATTGCTCTCGGCCCCTCGGAGTGCATAACCATAACCTACGAGGTCTCCAGTATCGGGATCAATCTTTGGGTGCGCCGTATAGGGGCCCTTTTCGGGGAGCTGGCCCGGAAATGGGGTGTGACCAATTGTGGCCATCGTAGCTTGATCACAGCGTTAGCTGACTCTTGCACGAAATACTTCATTGACAGAGCTTACTTGGATCAAGTTCATATGGGGCGCCGTGCTCGCTAAGAGCAAGCAGTTTGCCTGCGTGAACTATGACATTTGTGTTTGCAACATTGTCCTCCATCGCCCTTACGCAAGGGTGGTGTGAGAAGGGGCTTCGCATCACACCAAACAATGCCTTGCCTGCCTTACGCTCCGCAATGAACCGTTCAGTTAAAACGTAGCGTTGCTTAAAGGAAACCTTTCCGTTGTGGACACGAAAGGCACTGATACTTCCGTCCGCATCAAAAGAAGTAGTCTTGGCGCCATTCATGAAGAAATCACGCTCGTAGTAGGGGTCATGGGCCACCTATGAAATAGCCACATAGTTAGTCCTAAACAAGGTGCACAACAGGTCTATCTAAAGTCATTCTTAAAATGAATGACCAGGAAAAGAGGAGCGGATAAGCCTACGCGGTAGAACGTTCCGTTAAGCTCGAGGGGAATATTCCCCTTCACTTCCAGATCGTCAAGTTCGGCTTCAGCTCTGAAGGGGCGCGAGGCGCCGGCAAAGTCCTGGAAGTTGCTGCTCAGAATGCGAACCATATTGGGAGAGGTTTCGCCAATATGTAATCTTTTTTTACAGACTGAATGACGGAGCTGTCCTCTCAGGCCCGGAACGGCAACGAGTTGCGCTTATATACTTTTTATATTCTTCGTAAGTTGTAGACCTCTGCTGAAGGCTTAGTGTTGTTGAGAGGCGGGGGGAGACAGCTGGCATCCCATCGCCCGGAGCGTGTGGATGAATGTGGGGTCAATCAATCCGGCACCTGGAGCTCTCTGAATCGACTTCACGCAACATACGTTCACTGGAAGATCCGGATGCCCGAAAGGCAGAATGGCAGGAGTCTGTATCGCTGCCCCACACAGTCCCACATTGTTGCATCAGGCTTGAAGAAAAATCAAAGCATTCTAACTGTAAAATCCTGAAGTAAGGAGTGTCTCGTCAACTTTTCCATGTTTCGGCGGCTAAGGTATTCAGTGGTTGACGATTGTCGCGAGCAAGCCTGGCTGGACCGAGGCTTACCTACTCTCGAGACACACCGGGATGAGGCCCGGAAAACAGCGCCGCTTAATCGGGAGATCTTGAGACCTTGGGCTGCACGCCTACCTCCTGTACCTTACCTCCCTTACCTGTAAAGGGCAAACATTGAAAAGCTGGGTGGGTTCAGGTCGCGTGGTGGAAATTATCGGAAATGGCAGGTGTGGAGCACGCGATGCAAGTATCATGTAGCAGCAACAACACGGGGACGATGATCCGCGGGACCCGCCCAAGCCGCCCACACCCACCGACTGACCCCGCTCCGAGCTCCTTTCTCCATTGCATCGGAGGCAAACCGCCTAACGCCCCACATCAAGAAAGACGAGGAACCCCGGACCTTAACGCACATTCTCATAAGCGCTATTATGAGCGGAAAAATGATTGGTTTGGGAGCTCGCCGACGAGGTCAAAGCAAACAGCTCCTGCAAGCCAGATGACACTACCGGCAGCTAGGAACCCCTGTGGCTTGGCCAGGAAGGACTCGCGCTCAGACCGCTATAGCCCTGCATGTTGCATGGTGGTAACGTGGCGCGGAGGCTCAGGGGTTAGGAGTGCTACCTCGCTACTTCCAAGTAGGGCTTCTGCTGGTGTTGATCATCGAGAGACAGTAGGTAGAGCACGTGGGCCTCGAATGGCGAGGAGCAGAAATATCTCGTGGACGCCGAGTACGACTCATGCAAAACTGGAAGAGATGCGTGGTGGTTTTATCTTTATAGACATCTACGGCCATCATCACGAATTGCTAATGGCCAACAGTATCGAGAACAGAGGGCCAGAGTTGCTTGCCGTCAACATTACATTCATAACCACGGCCCTGATCTCCATCTTTCTAAGATGCTACGTCCGCGTCTTCAAGGTCAAGGCCTTTGGGTTCGATGACTGGCTGATGGCAGTCGCGACGGTCTTTTTCACGCTTTACGACATTTCGTCAAGTATCGGCACCCACTATGGCACAGGTCGCCATCATGAGGACCTAGAAACCAGAAACATCCACACCGCAATGATGGTAAGCAGAATCGACCCCATGGAGTATGACCTGGTCTGATATTTTACAGTGCTGGTGGTTCTGCTTCTTGTGGTATTGCCTTACAATGACGTTCTGCAAGATATCAATTGGCTGGTTCTTGCTCCGCGTTACCAACAGCAAGATACACAAATGGATCATATACATAGCCATGCTTTCGACAGCCTTCTCTAGTATCGTCTTCTTCTTCGTCTCTATGCTCCAATGCCGCCCAATCCCATACTTTTGGAACAAGGATATTGAAGGAAGATGCATCAACATTGAAGTTATCATTGGTTTGGCTACGCTATACAGCGTCTTTGCTGTCCTTTCAGATCTGATATTCGCCATCTTACCTGGCGTGATCGTTTGGAATCTACAACTTCATCGCCGGACTAAGGTTCTCTTATTCCCACTTTTGGCCATGGGTTGCGTGTACGTCTTCATTTTGTCCTGATGCCGACATAAGCTAATATTTGACAGAGCGAGCTTCGCGGTGTTGGTCCGATTTCCATTCCTACAAAAGTTCAGGCAGCCAGACTTTCTTTGTAAGTATACATGGGCAAGTTGAGGCTTCCTCGCATGACTGACGACTATAAGGGAACACGGTGGATATTGCAATTTGGTCAACAGTCGAACAAGGACTCGCCATCACTGCTGGAAGTCTGGCAACACTTAAACCCTTGATCAAAGCCGTCGGTCATCGCTTCGGCCTAACCAGCAATCCCACAGCTTCTGGCAACTACAATCTCTCCTCGTCCCGCATGTCGCGTTTGACGCCAAAAGCAAAGCTTCCCAGTGACACCGTTCGGCAACAGGATCTTTCCTATTTCGACCTTGAGTCTGACACGCCTGACTCTAAGGGAGGCGGGATCAAAGCTGTTTTGCCGGAGGGCTTTACGGCGAAGAAGAATCGAGAGTCCAAGAACCGTACACAGCCACGGTTAACCCCGGTGGGGGAGAATGATAGTGAAGAGGAGCTTCATTCACCTCGGTTGTGGAGGGAGCACCCGCGGGTAGAACAAATGCTGCGCTGAGCTGAGAATATTCTGGCAGTGATGTTAGATAGTTGGTTGTAGGCCTAAGCGGCCAGGGACTATATTATGGGCGTTCTGTGCTGCAATTCCATAAGCAACCTAAGCACGACACTGCTACTCGCGTTGGTCCTCGTACCTGAGCTGAATGGAGAGCACCTGGTATTGAAAGGCGGATAAACTCCACCTGCCAGACGGCCTGAAGAACGGAGTCTAGACCCCCAGGACCCCTCTCGTCTGATACTTGCGGACTCCATCAACGTACACCAAGCCAGTTCACGGTAAGCTTTCGTCACCGAGTTTGCAATGCAGAAAACACGAGATTCTTGAGGGAAGATTGGAGGCCCCTAGTCAACTTCCATTAAAATACAAAGGTAAACGGGATTACAAACTTGCTAGGATGACATCCGCCGCTTTCTCCGCTACCATATACGTCGAAACAGCAGTGAAGGTACCAGGAATACGCGGGTACACGGAAGCATCCACTACCCTGAGGCCTACCGTTCCACGGACACGAAAGCTCGAGTCAAGAACGGCAAACGGGTCATCATCCGCGCCTATGGGGCACGTGGAAGAGGCGTGGTGGCCCCAGGCTGTATCCTTGACATAGTCCTCAAGGTCCGCTTGTTCAATCACGTCAGAACCAGGTAAGACCTCCATGATGGGCACCGCTTGGCCGGCGAAGGCCTTTCGAGCAAGGTCAATGGCCTCCGTCATGGCCTGGACATCCTTGGAAGCCTCGCCATTACCAGTATCAAAGTAGTTGAAGGTAATCTCGGGGACGTCGAGAGGATCAGCAGATCGGAGTTCAACGGTGCCCGCAGTATTACGCGGGTGAGCTTTGAGAATAGCCCACGAGAACCAATCATGTTCAATGGTTGCGTTGACAGCGTATCCAGGGAAATAGCCCCTGAAATTGACTGGACCACCAAAGGCGAAGATGTCAAAATTATCCTGGGATGTAGTGCTGCTTTTGTAGAACATCGCAGCCGCTAACCCCGACGAAGAGTAAATCCCGTGATCGCCGCCCACAGGGGTTCTCCACCGATCAAGACATGGGTCTTCGGTCGTGAAAAGGCTGAAAGTGCAACCATTGAAAGAGGTAAAGTTGGCAGGGGCGCGGCCTTGAACGGAGATTTCATAATGGTCTTGGAGATTTGTGCCGACACCTGGAAGGTCAACAAGAAGAGGGATATCAAAGCGCTCAAGCTCCTTAGCGGGACCGATGCCGCTCAGTTTCAGAAGCTGAGGGGTGTTGTACACTCCTCCAGCAACAATGACCTCGCGAGAGGCAATCACGCTTCCGGGCTTACCCGCGGCTCCAGTGGACAATGGGCTGGCCTTATAGAGGTGTTTGCCGTCGAGAAAATCAACCCCTGTAGCACGGGGGGGGCTTGACTCGTCGAAGTTGATCTTGGTGACAAAGGCGTTGGTGCGCACGTCCAGTGGATATTTCTTGGTCCCGTTGGGGTATGTGGCATCGCGGACAGAGAGGATAAACTCGCGGGGGCCAACACGGCTAGCTTCTTTCGACGACAATGGAATCTGGTAGTAACCTGGTTCCTGGTCTCGCGCAAGCGTGTTGGCGTTGGCATCCCCTGCGATGAGGTCGTCCATTGTGATCTCAGTATTAGTGGCGTTGCTTAACGCAACGGCGCCACCGCTGAGAAGGCTGAGGAGCATCTCGTCTCCTAGGGGGATGCTGAGCGGGGCAGTCTCGGTACCCAGCCAACCATCATAACCATGACCTTCGACACCGGCGGCTAGATGCCTATTCTCTTCCAACTTGACGAAGTACTTGCGCATGTTCTCAGGCGACCACGAGGTATCGCCAGTCAGTGACGCGATGTACTCGAAGTCGGACTGGTGTGGATACACAGCAATCAAAGCGTTGTGCGCCGTGCATCCGCCGAGGGCCTGAGTCCGGGGATACAGGGTGCCCTTCTGGATGGCATTCTCTGGGGGGTTAAGGCCAGTGTATTCGCCATCGGATGTCTCATAGGTTGTTTTGTAGTCCCGGGCTTGGCGGGTCTCATTGGCATAATGATGCACAAAGAAGTTCCAGGCAATTTCGGGGTCCTCTGAAGCATTTGCAGAGTAAGCTGGGACCGTATAATTGGATGTGTTGTAGTCATCGCCAGCCTCAAGAAGAAGGGTTTTGTGACCGGCAAGAGCCAGACGAGCCGCAAGAGGACCGCCACCAGCACCTGAGCCCACAACGACGTACTCATAACTGGACAATTCGACGGCAGCTGCGGCCGAAGCTGAGAAAGCCAACAGGCGGAGTGATGGTGAGAACTTCATCTTGTAGGCGATGTAATAAAAGCCTAGTATCTGACCCGTCAGTAAGGCTTTCGACGTGCGGAAGAAGAAGACTTACTCTAGGAGCTGAAGTGATGTCTCACGGGCCGGTAAATCAGAACAAAAGGATACAGCAGCTGCCGATCACAAGGCAAAACAGAGCTGTCGAAAAGCAAACACACTCGGCCTTTAGTATAATCAGTGGCCCGCGTGAAGTCGTATCGAACCAGGACCGTCGCCAACTTGGATGTGGCAACCTTCGGGCGAACAATGCCTCTTCTGTGCGTTCCGCGAACGCGAGGTTCTGCATCGCAACAACCTTGCTGTGGTATGCATCGATTCTCGGAGATGAATAACTGCTGGCATTGAAGAGATACTGTACATACATGGTACATACAGTGGGTCGATGGTGTGAGGAAGCGTCCGTAGAGCCTTGCACAGTGGCAAGGGGCGGCATGACACATGCAAACGTGATCGCTGGCGAACGCGGGCCCCTGAAAAATCATAAATACTACCGGCACTATTCCCAGACATGGATCTGGGTCCAGGGTTCGAGCCCCAGCATCTTGGCAAAGGTCTCCCGTTTGGGGTTACATTTACCATCACGAGGAGACACGATCGGCCGGTCTCATTCCCATTTGTATTCAATCCCCGTGTATCAAGCCCGTCGAGATAGTTATCAACGCGCCGAGGCAGGTCTTCACCCGTGCTTTGTTCCGGGATGGTATTTCATCATATCATGGTGTAAAATGTATGTCTTCATGCATGGACTGTTAAGGTACCAATCAGAGTTCGAAGGGTTCGCCTCACGATAGCATCTACTCGGGCGAGACCCTAAGATGATGTGGAGTGCCGGGTGCGGTAATCACCTGGGGAGGACGCAAGGCTAATCAACGAATTTCTATCGCGAAAGTAGCGCACGCTATCATCTGCGGAGGGCCCCGTTGAAGCAACATCAAGCTCGCATTTCACTCACACTCAGCGTTGGCGCTCATCGACAGCCTGGTCGATGCAATTTCTCGGAAAACATTCGCTGGTATCGATACGAATGATGGCATCATATCTACCCCTGTTGAGGCAAAGTCGGCAGTGACTTGACTTCTGATATTGTGGCCAAACGGGCCCCCATTACGTACCTACTTTAGCCCACCTTACCAGTCGCAGACAAGGTTCCAGGCCGCGCTCTTTTCAATGTGCGGTAGGTCCAAACCAGGGCCATCTGATTGGAGACCAATCCGCGGGGTTCTTCTACCGGCGGTCATGCCGTACAAGGTCTCTATTACAGTTGGCACTGCGTCACTCTCTGCGTCCAGCACTACGGTCGTGCACTTGTGTTGATCAGGCGTCCATTTGTGGCCTCGTCATCCCATTGGTTAGTCAGTTTCAGAAAGGTTGGCTTGCGAAGGTGTACTGTCTGTAGGGGTCCTTCGGGGGTGATGCTGATGTCTCTATTGGCAGCGGTCTTGGAATCTAGGCTCTTGCTGATCATCAATAACACCCTAGGATCGGTGAAGTGAGAAACGAAGGTCAATATTCGCAATCAACCGTGCCTATGTCTGAAAATGTTTCGCGTCCGTTACTTGATGGCTGAGCTAAGCTTGTACGTTGTACGTCGAAGCAGTGACTCAATAATTAAGCATGAGAGTGAATCTTAGATTTTCACAGAGCAAGGTATTATTCTTTCAATGAGCGATGAAGTCTGCACCACAAAAGGCATGCTTAAACTTTTCATGACATTCGTCATCGAAACCTTGAGTCACATTCAAATTAGATCCTATAGGACGTCAATTGCCTGGTTGTAACCTTCGCTGACCCTTAAAATATCAGTGTGGTGTCAAGGAAGGAGTGGATGGTTTACGTGCTCGACACCTTCCTTAACGGATATTCAAGTCCGGTCTCTCAGTAGCAAAATGGACTTGAGACTTGATTTTCAGTCTTCATGTAGACATTGCGAAACACTAGTGGCTCCTCCCAGATCGCCGGATGAGTTTGAACATGTTACCCAGCTTCTCGCTTTGGCCTTTTACAAAGTACTATGGGTCGGTGTACGTCTAAAATATCTTCAAGGAACAGATTATCCCATAACTAAGCTGCTTCCAAGGCTCGGAGGATTGGCCAACATCAAATATTATCACCATCATCACCACGCCAAAGCTTCAGTAACGGAAAATCGTTGAAAACCCAGGAGTGTCAATCGATTCCAAACTCTTAGAAAGCTCTCCGCCATGGAACCATCATGAGCTTACAACAGGATTGACGATTTACACAAAAGACCTCTTAATATATGCAGACAATTCTCGATCGAGTTGAGTCGTACTTAATATCTTCGAGGCTGTCAATTAAAACTTATTCCATGTCTATCTCGGCGGTAACACTGCTCTGACGACACACCATTTCAAGGGTTCTATAATTGCGTCTTTTTGTGTCCTTACACACGATTCTTCTGTCGATATCATGGCCAGTGCCACCTTGAGATGAAAGCACCCAACAGCTCTTTCCACGAGTGTCAGTATGTCCTCATGGCCATATTTGCAGAGTCCGTACCTGTGCGTTACGTGACTCTTTCCAGGCTTAAGGGCAAGCTTGGGATACCCATGTTCCATTTTGTCTTCAAGAAACAGGGGCCTAAATGACGTGGCTGAAGAATATATGACACTTTGACGAACCGACTACATGTTAGTGAGCCTGCAATCGGATAGTTTTATGGATTCAAAATCACGGGTGCCTAGTCTACATTAAGTCCATAACAAAGAAAGGTGTGCCACAAGCCAACATGTTTATATTGTTGTCAAGCTGTGTCTGCAACTTCTCAATGGTCACAAAACATCAGTCATTCGTGACTATTCTACTCGCTCAGCTATATTTGGATGTTGGACTGCATTACAGGAATGAGTGAGTGATTCCCAAGACGATATATTTCGCGTCTTACATATATTTTCAAGCCTGACCTTGACCTTTTTGATCCTACGGCCTCCACCAAACAAGGCTGACAATACGCGGCGACTTGAAGTCTCTCGTCAGACAACCTGGCGGTGAGACTGCGGAGAAATAGGTAAGCCAATGTACCAAATCAACTTGCATCAATTGGTTGGCCCCATCCGGGCGGGGACAAACTGCCCCTTAAACCTCAAACATGGTCCCACCAACGCCAGCCCTGGGATGGCCGAAGAGATTAATGTTCATTTAGTTCAGACGGTAAGTTGTTCCTCGACATGTCCAGATTTGCCTGTTTTGCAGTTATTGCCCAATCTCTCTCTGCAAACCAATGTCAAAGTCCTTCGCGCGGTTCGTGAAGGCTCCGCTGTCACCGGCGTTGAGATCGAGCTCACACCCTCCACGCGCCAGGTCATCGAATTGAAGACCGGCGGCGCAGTAATCCTTGCTGCTGGCGCATTTTTGACTCCTCGCCTTCTCTTTAATTCTGGCATCGGTCCTAAGGCTCAGATCGAGACCGTCGCCTCTGGAACAACCCACATCAACCTACCGCCACAAAACCAATGGATCCCGCTTCCTGTTGGTGAAAGCATGAGGGACCATCCAATTTTCACTGTCAATTTCAACGTCAGCACAGGTCTCAAAACACTTCCTCAGGATGATTGGCTGACGCCAAGTCAAGAAACAATCGATCTCTTCGCTAAAGGCAGTGGTCTACTTTCGCAGTCCGGGCAGCGCCTGGATTTCTGGACAGGCGTGAATAGCACGGACGGAATCGTTCGATACGTCCAGGGCACAGTCAATGCGCCCAGTGACAACATAGTCAGTATGAAGGTCTATCTTACCCACGGCCTAACGTCGGTCGGCGCGCTTGATATCAATCACGCAGGTGCAACCACTATCATAACCCAGCCATCTATGATCACAGATGGCGATCGTGAGGCAATGCTGTCTTTCATGACTACACTCATTGAATATGCGAGCAAATTTAACAGCTCACTGACTCTGCCGGTCAACACCACGGCAGAGAGTCTAACTCAGACATTCCGCAGTGGGTCTCATTTTGTCGGGACAGCTGTCATGGGCGAGGAAGATGACGGCAGCAGAGTCGTTGACACTGATGCCCGCGTCTGGGGAACCGACAACTTGTATGTCGTCGATGCTAGCATCCACCCCAAGTTACCCACTGGCAATACGCAAGCCCCTGTCATGGTTGTGGGGGAGCACGCCGTATCAAAGATCCTGGGCGTTAAGCCTATCAAGTGTAAGACGAAGCGCAGTCATATGTTCAGAGACCGCCGTGAGGTTTTGAGCCGTTCGTATTTGCACAGGAAGGCATCGATTCACCACTGAACCTTGCTTAAAGGGGGCTAGGGGGGTGAGGTGAAGCTTTGAGGTATTCTGTGAATACTTGAGACATTTCTCCTGTGAGGGCCCCACATACGGGTAACGTGTTGCACGCAACCAGATTGTCATGGAATAGGATTTGGCATTCCCTTATTAGACATATCACCAACCTAAAATAGTGAGAGCGTGCAAGGGGTTCGCCATGCTCGGCGCCGAGCCCTGAGGACCGTTAACCGGGTCGGACCCACATCAACACGAGTCGGCCGCGCGTCACTCGGTATTGGCTGTGACATCACCGCCAATGCTGCTTGAGCATACACACATCGTGCATACATGGTATACCGAATGAAAGTTCACGTCACGCTTTATTGGAACCTTGTAGTGTAAACAACCAGTCGTGATCGACAAAAGGGAACGCTGGGCTGACACGTTGGCGCAATGCCAGAGCTGCATCGCCACAGCTAGCCACATTTCATGACGATGAGCGGGAGTTCTGCTCAGCGATTGTGTCAGGGTTGGAACTGGGAATGCAGGTAAAGGCTGGCGTCACTACAAGGCTGATGGCATGCGTCATGTGAGGGGCTTGTTAGTATAAGATACGTTGGCACCTCCACTACAATCAGTTTCGGTGTGTATTCCCATCTTGACCAGTATTTCGACACAACACAACAATCCCAAATCGCAGTCATCAGTCCGTCCCTAATCAAGTATAAACCAAGATATGGCGGTGAGTCGTTCCTTGACGGGTGACTGTTTCTTCAGCTGACATGATCCAGAACGGGAATAACCGATCTCGTGGTCGACGTCTCGCGACTGGAGCCATCATTGGCATTGCCATTGCCTGTTTTGCCGTCCTCGCCTTCTCTCTAATTTGCTGTTACTTTTGTTGTTTTCGCAAGAGGCGCGCGAGCAGAAACGCTCGGGCTCACCGCCGGAGTCCGACACACAGTGGCGGCATGATGGGCAAGCTCAGCGGCGTGATGGGTGGTCGTGACCATGCGGCTGGCGGACCAGGCATGATGGAAGCTGGATACAGCCAACAGGGCGGCGGATATGCTTACACCAATAATGGACAAGCAGGGTACGGACCTGGGTATAATGCTGGATACAGTGGCGGCATTCAGCAACCACAACCGGCGTATCGTTGAGGGGAATGAAAAGCATGAGCACTGTACGCAAAGACAATATCCCATTATTTTCAACGCAGCGACGGCACTGTACTTTTACGCATGGTGGCAATTCATGACGAAGTTATATCATTTTTGTGTATGTACTATGCTTATGTATCTACGATGCTTGTCTGTGCTTTTCAGCCGCCTGGCTGCTTTCTGCAAGCCTGTCTCCGAATTTGATGAAGATAAAAGGTATCACCCCCAAAGCCAATGCGATGAAGCCAACAACAGATGGCGCCCAATGAACACCCAAGCTGGTGTACATGCTGTCAGCCGACAGTGGCAGTAGGATAGCTCCAATCGATCTCATCATGCTTGCAGCAGCGTGTGCAGAAGCTGAATTCTGTCGAAATACGTCTGTCAAATAGTTGACCATCCCCATAAAAAGCAATTGGAAACCACAAACAAAGAAGATGCCGCTCATTGCCGGCACCACTGGATGAATCGATACCCGCGCAGTCCAGCCCAACCAAAACAGGCCGATGACCATACTTGATACTATTAGCACGACATTCAAATTGAACGGTCGGGTAACTCACAATGGCGATGCAATGCACGCTAGTGGAAGCCTTCTGTGGATTTCCTTTTCCGTCCAGCTCGCGCCAGCCCTGGTTCGCTTGTCATGATAAGCGGTAAAAGCTGCAAAGATAGCAAGTGAACCAATAACTCCGAGGATCACTACACAGCCAGTCAGAGAGATGCTCCTGTATAGGAAGAATAAGGCTTACTTGGAAGGTATGCCAGGCCAGCTATTCCTGGTCTGAGCCCGTAAAGTCGTTGGAAGACTTGGGGATATGCCTGAAACATGAGATAAAACACTGCATATCCCATGGTGAGGTAGGCTGACGTGAAGAAAAGAATCGGCTCAGTAACCAGGAGAGTCAACGGTCGGAGGAAGATTTCCCTGGCGTTGAAAGGTTTGAGTTCCGGTGCTTGATGTCTCGGGTCCAAGACTTGAGAGTGTTGTCCCGCAGCTATATCAAACTTTGCTGCATTCTGTTTCGTTAGTTTTCGAATAGCCTTGTTATATAACACAGGGCTATATGTCTCCGGTAGAGCCAACACCAACGGTAGGCCGCCTATCGCTATGAGGGTTGCGATCCAGAATGGCCAGCGCCACGAGACTGACGATGAGGCCCCAGATATCGTGGGTCCTACAATCGGCCCAATCGTCGTCACTGACATGTAAAGGGCCATGGCGTTCCCCCGGACCGAGGGATCATCGAGTATGTCGGCATACAGACCTCCAAGCACAGCTGTTGGTGCAGCAGCATTTATACCGCAAGCCAATCGGAATACCAGTAAGACGTAGTAACTCGGCGCGACAGAGCAAGCGCTCATGAAGACGATGTATCCCAGGTAAGTCCCGGTTAGAACCGGTCGTCTGCCGACGTACTCACTGAGTGGTCCAAAAATCAGAGGACCCAGGACATAACCGACCATGTACAATGAGTTAAGCAGTATCAAATGAATGCGATCGTTGACGCCGAAATGCCTGGCTATTGCATCGAGAGCCCCAGACGGCATGGAGGATCCCAGATTTCCATTAAATGTGCAGATGAAACCAGCAACGACAATCAGAAGCTTCCTTGTCTAATCACAAGTAAGTCATCGGTCTGAATAACATTGGAATGCGCTTCCATTGAAGACCAGAGATACGTACAGATGAAAGTTTTGTAGGATCGGAGAATGCAATATCGTAGCTGTTCGATCCACCTGAGTCTTGTGCACTTTCGTCGGTTTCTACATCGGGTTCTGATGTGCGCGTCCGCATCTCTAGATCAACTCTGCGTGAGGAGTACATGGTATCGTTTGAGTGGCTTTTCTCATTCAGAAGCTTAGTGTCCACGATCATTTGAGCATGTTGCTGCACCCGTTATATAAGCCTGAGGAAAGATTACGAACAACCGAGATATGCGACCTCTTTGCATGGTGTTCTTGAGATCAGAGTGGCTACTTCCCCCAAAATCTGTGATGTTGATTGGCGTATTCGACCGAGTTTCGGAAATCTGCTAACTTGCAGTACCGGCCGGCCGTCGCTCTGTATTGGTAATATGACTCGTAGGGATTCATCATCAAGTCTGGAGGCACAGGGCATTCGGAGTGGTCCGTGCGAGACAACGCTCTAATCGGATGCTGACAGAGCTTGCCGATTGGGCAAAATTTCCGACTCGGCTCAATATTTCAACTTCCGAGTCCACCGTCATTTCCGATAAAGGGTAACCAAAGCTGACCAGTTGAGAACCCCAGAGTTTGACAAGTCCATCCGTCTCTCGCAACGATGAACAGGCAGATCATGTCTCCAGAAGGGCGTATCAGCAGACGTGCAAATATGGCGACAAAGACGGGTCGAACGAGTAAGCCTCAGGCAACATTGGTGCCGCATATGTGACCTGCTAACTCGCACAGATGGAAAGGCATGTGAAAGGTGCCATTACCGCAAAATTCGATGCGACATGCTCCGGAAGGGTGCGCCCTGCTCAAACTGTGTAGCTCATGACATCAAGGAATGCAAAGTCTTCGAGAAGAGAAAATCTCGGCCGAAGAGCCCTTTCGATAGCGGGGCGACTCTAGCACCTCTACAGCCACGTCTTGAGCGCCCACATCCTGCAACTACGCCGGCTACACCATCTCTCCCGCACCTACGGCCCGATGCAGCCAATTTGTTGCCAACTTCAGGGTCTTCGCAAGTTGAGCGACGTGCCAGTGCATGTGACGCTTCCGAACAAGTAACGCGTAGTCTGGCGGATTTCATCAATCGCGAAGACCTTCGCAATTTGGAGATAACGCATCGCTGCCGGCTGTATTTTATTGGCACGGAGTTTTCCAACCTGCATCACATCCTACAGCATCGCTCTCTGTGGCCGGATGAGAGTGTGCTGCACTTTGGAAGCCTTACGTTCCCGGCAAGGACTCCCTCGATGCCATTAGGGAGTCTAGAGCTGCCCAATAAGGACCTCGCAGATGAGCTGGTCGAAGCTTACTTCACTCATGTGAATCGGGGTTTCCCAATCGTAGATGAAATCGATTTTAAAAGGTCTTACTACAGTATCGCCAACAGGAGCACACCTAGCATCAAGCCGGTATCTCTGCTGTTGCTCAACGCTCTCTTCCTGGTTGGGGCTCACGTACTAGCGCCCCAGAGAGAAGATCTCAAAGCGTTGCGGTCTGTTTTCTTCTCGCGGACCAAGACACTTTTTGACAATCGTTACGAAAAACATCGAGAAGCATACTTACAAACCGCTCTTCTTCTGACCTGGCAGTGTGAAGACCTAGAGGATGTCGTCTCCAACTCTTGGCATTGGATTGGCGTTGCTGCTCGAACGGCCTTCGGGTTAGGAATTCATCGGAACGCAAATCCCTCCAATCTCAACATTGCAGATAAACGCCTCTGGATTAGGCTGTGGTGGATTGTATTCCAATTCGATGTGGTGATATCGGCAGCCTATGGGCGCCCTCAAGCTATGTGAGTATGCTTCGCTGTTCTTTCGATTAGACTCTAACGTTGACAGCAATTTGCAGGATTCCGATGTGCCAGGGCTCGAGCTTCAGCATTTTGACGGAGTGAATGATGCACAAACGGACTTTACTATTCAACATACTCGGCTCTGTGTGATCTTTTCAAAAGCCATGCGTCAGCGATCGGCTCCCCGTTCGACGCCTGACGAACGCGCAGCGGCGACTAAGGAGGCCGATAAAGCATTGGCCGAGTTCATCTTACAATTACCTGAAAACCTGCGACTCTCAACAAGTTCACCAAGCATCTGGACTGCCACATTGCATCTTTCTTACAATAATTTCCTCATACTACTCCATCGCCGGAAGACCCCGAGCAGCAAGTTAGCGACATTGGCAGCGACTCGGAATCTGTGGAGTGCTCTGACACATCAGTTCATATTTGAATCACTCAGGACTTGTCAAATGTTCGAGACCTATTTTCCCAAGCATACAGAACTCTTACAGCCATGGTGCGATTTTCTATTA